GAGTAATTCAAGAATCTCAAGTATAAATAATGTGGGAAAAGTACACAATTATTATATTTAGATGCTGCATTAACACACAAGGGAAAAAAACGATTCTCATGCTTGTTATTCAACGTAACCGATGTTTGCATTGAATTGAACATACATGCTAATTATTGATTCATATTTTGTTTTAAATGTAAAATTCTCTGAACAAAGAAATTTCTTCATGATGATGTTGAATCATTTATTATCATTTTCTGTGATTCACTCATCTTATATATGTTAAATGTAATAGATAATTTTTTTTTTCAAGTAAAGAGAAATTCTTTAACATTAGTCATGAGATAAGTTTAATAGATTTTCTCTGTTGTTTTCGCTGCAAGATTTCTTTGTATGTTACATAAATCGAAGCTGTTACATAATTGATGATAAAGCTGTTATCAATTCGGTTGCAAATGAAGCCCGCATGCAGCAAAAGCTTTCATGTGAAGTCCGTCCATAAACGAACGGATTTGTGTGTCAATAGTCTGATGACCTCATCGTCCATTACGTCGTTATTATTTCGAGTGGACATTCAATCACCATTCATTTACATCCAGAAAAAAAACGCATCTCGCTTTATATACACATTGAGCGCGCACAATGAAACTATTTATTTTTTATATATATTCCCACTGAATGTACCCAAATGGAAATTCGGTCAAGGGATGTGAAATAATAAACAAAACAAAACAAAAAGCGACAGTTGGATTGTTTCCAGAGAAACCGTAAACATCCATAATTTATCAAGGATATTTTCATTGGACTTAACTAAATTGGACACCGTTTCCATGGTTAATTAACATGAATTATAAACAGGACATTATAAAAACTTAACAGAAACGTTTATCATCATTACTTACTTATATGAAAATCATAAATTCTTCTTGTAAGAACAAAAAAATGGGATTTTTTTAAATTAATGATTTGCGCAATTTTCATATATAAATAAGAAGTATTTAATTGAAATAAAAATGATTATGACGATGTTGCATTAATAAATAAAAAGCACGTACATCGAAATTTATGTGTTGAGACATTAACGGAGGCAAACGGGAAATTAGTCGGGGAAAATTGAGAATGGCAATTAATATTGATTGGACGATGATTAAAAGTGATGATGGCGGTTCTCCTCCTGTTTTTCATTTTTAATTAATGAAAAAACATCGATTTGCCGAGAGAGATACATTTCGGATTTGAACTTCAACAATAATTTATTTATGAAATAAAGATGTTTTTACTTAGGAATTTGAAGCATTGTGGTGAAATTAGGAGATCAAGACTTTCGAAGTATGAAATTATTGTTTCTACATTTAGGTAATCAATTAAAGAATAGAGTTTATATATTTTTTTATTGAAAAATTTAGGTTTTTAAGTGTTGATAAAAGCATACAAAGATTTGTTGTTTGAATGGGTGAAATTTGGAGATGAAGACTTTCGAAGTATGAAATTATTGTTTCTATATTGAGGTAATTAATTAAAGAATAAAGTTTCTATATTTTTCATAGAGAAGTTTAGGGTTTTAAGTTGCAATAAAAGCATTCAAAGATTGTTTGAATGAGTAAAATTTGGAGATGAAGACTTTCGAAGTATGAAATTATTGTTTCTATATGTAGGTAATCAATTAAGGACTAGAGTTTCTATGTTTTTGATTGAGAAGTTAAGGGTTTTTAAGTGTTTATAAAAGCATTCAAAGATTTGTTGTTTGAATGGGTGAAATTTGGAGATAAAGACTTTCGAAGTATGAAATTATTGTTTCTATATTTAGGTATTCAATTAAAGAAGATAGTTTTTATTTTTAATTGAGAAATTTTGGTTTTTAAGTGTTGATTCAAAGATTTGATGTTTGAATGGGTGAAATTTGGTGATGAAGACTTTAACAGTATGAAATTATTGTATCTATATTTAGGTAATCAATTTAAAAATGATTTGATGTTTCAATGTTGGAATATGGTTGGAATTGAATAAGAATTCCAAGTATGAAATTATAGCTTGCTTGATTAAATTGCATCTGTTTTTGGACAATCAATTGAAAATTCAATTTGAAAACCATTATAAGCAGATGCAAAAAAAAAACATACTCGATGGCCTCACTTTCCTTGCGCCATTGTCTTCACATTACATCACCACAGTTGACGAAGTTGTACATCAAATGTTACCAAACAGGTTTTCTGCATGGGCCGAGAGTCCATTTGCACGCGTGACGTTTCCTCTTAATTCATCGAGTTTGTTTATTAAATTTAACTTAGATTAGCGTCACGTAAAGCCATCGTCGTTATATCCATTAGCATAATCGTTAATGGCGCAGAAGTGTGGATGGAAGTGATGCCTTTTTTCGCGAGTACGGCGAAAGGAAGTCCCCGATTTACATTCAGAAAACCTTAATGACTGTTATAAAACTCTCCTTTCGGTTTTGTTATTCTTAGCAAGGTAATTATGAGAGAAGAGAAGAGAGTCCAATTATCTTTACGCTAAATATACCAATCTTCGGATGGTTATATCTTCCAGGATAATGGTTTTCCAAGGAAATTTGCAGGACGTAACCCAAGTTTAACTACTCAATTCCAAGAAAAATAAGCTTACAATCTTCAATAAATCAACATTCTATCAATTAACTTTTGTGTAAACTTTTAGTAATAACTTTAACAAATCGTTTCGATCTTAAAACAAACATTTTCGAAATAAATACTTAAAAAAATCCTTTGGTTCTTCAATAAAATTAACTTTTATTCGTTTATCAATCTTCTCAATTTTACTTCAAAGAGATTAGTGAACTTATTAATACTATTATTATCTTTGGTATAATTAACTATATTTATTTACAGAATTAAAAGATTGAAATGAAACTTTGATGGATGAAGAAGTAGCAAAAGCTGAATTTGTATAAAAGTGGAGGATGATGATGGAATTTGCGAAGTTGCGCTAAAACGAAACACTGTCGCAATTGAATTAACAGCTCGCAACGAATTTGCAGATTTAGCAAGCGAAGAGTAACAAATAAATAAATATAGAGTGAAACACGAAACAGGACGGAAAAGGGGGAGACCTGGTGATAATAAAAAGCGTGATTCAAAAAACTGAGTCACCGTTGGAAAACAGGAACAAAAGAGAGAGAGAGAACAGTAGACAAGCAGACAGGCATACATCACGAGGCGCGCATTCTTGCGTGAAACAAAGCTGTACAAGTAACGAAATCGAAAACCACTACAATTCCTGTAAATTCATACATATTTGATAAAAAAAATCCATATATTTCTATATAAATAAAAGTTATATAATTTATTAATGAAAAATTATGGAAGTCAAGTTTAATAATTGCATTTGATGAAGTGTTATTAATGGTAATTCTAAAAATGGATTTGCAGAAATGGATGTGAAGAAAACGTTCTATTTTAAAGACAGGAATGAAAAGTTTTTTTTTTGCACAACAGACATATCGTCTCCACTAAAAACACGCCGAGACGTGCAAATACCAAGTGAAAACGGTAGACGACGGCTGAAAGACATAATTTATGCTTCTAATGTAAATAACTGAATTCCTCGCGTGATTTACTCTGAAATTTCATGCGAAAACACAAAGCAATTATTAATTAGTCCTTCTGTAATAAATTGAAGTATTAAAATTAAACTAAAATTAAAAAAAAAAATAGACAGTTTAAGTTAAAGAAAGTGAAGTATGTATGTATGTTTATAAATTATAAAAAAAAAGAGTTGTATATGTTGAGAATCTACCCCTTGCTGAGTTGTCTTGAAGGAAAACATTACTCTTGGTTGAAACATGTTAATATATGATTTTATATTTATATGAATAAAACAATTTATTTGCTTGGGAAAAACCGCATCGAAATCTACTTAATAACCATTCTTGCACTGCAAATTCCAGCGAATCAAATTTACATAACCCAAAGAAACAAGTTTATAACGTTCACAATACCGTTTCCATCGAGTAGAAAGTATTTGTTTTTTTTTTATTGCTTCGTTTCGTCTGAGTCAAGTTCGAAGGAATCTGCGTGATTCAAATGCGAGATTTGCAAAGTAGGTGCGAATGTGAATCACGAAACACTGAAGAGGTGATCTCAAGAGGGAAAATGCAACGAAACAATTTCACTTTGTTCCAATGATAATTGCTGCGTTATAATGGAAGAGAAGCGAGAAGCGAGGAGGATACTTACAACGAATTATTGCATAATGCATTTAATTAAAAACCGGGTATAATTAAAATGCAGATTCACTTTTCGTCGTTCGAGGACGCAATTAAAACTTCACTCAAATTGTAAGCAAAAATAAAACACACACTTTGATGCTTTGTGCTGAATCTCTGTTGAAATTCTAGTTTTCATTAAAACAGATGATTTTTTTTTAATTTTTAGATTCAAGATGCTTTAGTTATGAAAAAGTTTTTTTTTTTAATTAAAAGTAATCAACAATTGAAGATATAATGAAAATATATACAAACAAAATCGATTTCTTTAATTAAAAGTAATCAAGCAATATAAATATGTAAACTTTAATTTGTCTCATGTTGAACTTTTTGAAAATAATTAGTTTTTAATTAAATTACGTTTTTTTTTATATAAAAGGACCAAAACTGTCAAAATGAATCACGCCTCTTTTGGTATTTAAATGAGTCGACCGTTTCAGGCGTACTTCTAATCTGGTTTCACATACTAGTTCTCGTTATTTTTTTTCTTCCCTCCTTCAAGAAAGCTCTTTATAACTGGTTTTTTTAAAGCGCTCCAGAAAGGAAGGGAAAAAAAACGTTATTTATCTCACGAGCTTAGCTCACAAAGATATTAATCATGCTTTAATTAATAAATTCAGTGCAATTATCTTGATGTAAACAGTTCATGGTATAAATAATATAGTATTTCTTAAAAGGAAAACAATATTGCAATTCATGAATTGAGAAAAGTTTCAGGTATGAATGTTTAAAGATTGTATTGTTTGTTACATTTGTTTAAATAATATAAATAACGTACCGTATGAACATCTCCGAATTTGCCTGTTACGGCTCTCTCCAAAGGCTGGTGATTGGATGGATGGTTACCCATTGCACTAGAATGACTTGTTGCGAATCAACGAGAAGAATCACCACCGCGAAGAAGTGTAGAAGTACCCTGAGGTAGTTGTTTTTTTTTGTGTGTATGTATAAATATTTATAGCGTGAATCCGCAAGAGAAATGTTCGCTTCGCATGGGCCGAAGAGGAGAAGAGGAGAGAAGAAAAGCGCAGATGTCGCGAGCCTCTTTAAGGCAGATGCAGCTTTAGGGTTGCCAGATGTCCGAAGAATTGATGCAACTTAAGGGCATCTCAGATGGAAAACCACACAGACACAAATACAAATACACTGGAACGTGCACTCACAGAAGCACAGATGAATAAAATAATCCAAGAGTTAAAAACTTCGATCGGAGAGATGAAGAGTTGTCGCGGCAAACTACCGGTGTGTGCGGTCACTTTCTTGCCGGATACCGGTTAACCTTGATGGAATTCTTCGGAGGATGATAGAGGTATACGAGTCGTGTTTAATTGTTGTTGCTACTTTTCGGTTGACGATTAATGGAAACGCGATTCCTCTTCTGCGGTGTTTTTCTTGATGATGTTGATGATGATGCCCGATGGTGCTGATGGTACCCGACGAACGCGACGACTGGCATAGCAAATGCCGACTGGTTGGGGGCTTTTTGACGGTTAATTCTTTACAAACAGTTTTTCAGTCCCCACACTTCGTTACCGATCACACGTATTAACCATTCCGAATACATCGGAGCCAGGTAAATAACTACACAGGTAGCTGAACGTACTGCTCTTTCTACTTTCGCTCGACTCGACCAGGTACTGCTTTCCTCCTCTACAGAAGACTCTTCCTTCTCGCTCGCTCCCTTCCAAAATAATAAAGAAAAACCGTCCCTCCGGTCTACACGAGAGTAACACGAGTCGAACGGAGAAGGAATACTGTTCTGAGGAGAAACTCGACAATGGATATCTCACTCTCTCTTTCTCTTCTAGCTTCTTGCGTGCAGCTCAGCTTGCCACCTAATGAACTAACCGGAGGAGTCCGTACGTACGTAAGTTGCTTGGATTCGGAGGAACAGCAGCCTCCTTCTCCTCCTCCCGTTCGACATCATTGGATTTGCATTCCGGAGGTGCTATTTTTAGATTTTCATCTTGTATACACACACACGGAAGAGGAATCTTGTAAATACGATATTAACATTAATCGATGTAATCGCATATCATTGCTGCCCTTGGATACGCAAATTGGATATATCCCCATTCCTGAGATGCTTCGCAATCCGATAATTTCTAAACAATGCCACTACAGCAATTGAATACTACTCCTTGTTTCATATTAAAATTGATTAATCCACACTAATTACGAAAAGTTCAAATTTAGTATTATTTCAATAAAAAATCTTTAAAAGACGCAAGTTTGTATGCAATAAAGTAGTGTTTTCTTTCTTGATGATTAATCCATTCAAAAATCCATAGTTGAAATTATAAATCAATCAAGTTTGAATGTAAGAAACACGCAACTTTATAACATATAAAGTTTGTAAACCAAGAAATGTATAATTAAATAATGTTAGATATCTATAAAAAGAGCAATATTCTTATTTGCATGTAGTAATTAATTAATTAAGATTAAGTTAATTATTCAGATTTTTTTTTTAATTGATTGATTTAACATAATTTATGTACACAAATTGAAAACGTAAAATATAACAAAATTGAGAAACCAATTATAATATTGATTAATTAAAATATGTTAAGAAGTGAAAAATGCACTAATTAGTTAGATTTTCTTATGAAACTAACATAGTTGATACATCAAAAATTGAAATTTGAAAAACAAATTTTATTAATTTCTAGATTAAACTAAGAAATATATAATTAAATTGTTTTCTTATATATAAAAAGAGCAATTTTCTTATACTTGTACTAATTAAATTGAGATTATGTTAATTCTTAATAAAAAATTGATTAATCCACACTAATTACTACATGCGAAAAGTTCAAATTTAGTATTATTTCAATAAAAAATCTTTAAAAGTAAGAAACACGTAAGTTTGTATGCAATTACATTTCTACGAAAATAGTGTTTTCTTTCTTGATGATTAATCCATTCAAAAATCCATAGTTGAAATTATAAATCAATCATGTTTGAATGTAAGAAACACGCAACTTTATAACATATAAAGTTTGTATTTACTTATCATTTAAAAATGAGAAATTACATTTTATTTATAAAGTTTCTAAGAAAAGTTCATTGTATTATATCATTAAAAAATTTTAAAAATAAGAAACACGTAATTTTATAACTTATAAAGTTTGTATTTACTTATCATTTAAAAATGATGAATTACATTTGATTTATAAAGTTTCTAAGAAAAGTTCATTGTATTATATCATTAAAAAATCTTTAAAAATAAGAAACACGAATTTTATAACTATAAAGTTTGTATTTACTTATCATTTAAAAATGATGAATTACATTTGATTATAGTAAAGTTCATTGTATTATATCATTAAAAAATCTTTAAAAATAGGAAACACGTAATTTTATAACTTATAAAGATTGTATTTACTTATCATTTAAAAATGATGAATTACATTTGATTTATAAAGTTTCTAAGAAATGTTCATTGTATTATATCATTAAAAAATCTTTAAAAATAGGAAACACGTAATTTTATAACTTATAAAGATTGTATTTACTTATCATTTAAAAAAGGAGAAATTACTGTTAATTTACAAAAAATTTCTAATTTCTTTTTACTAATTTACTATTTAAAAATCCATTCTTGAACATATACAATTCGTATTTTCTTTTGTTTATCATTTCCAAAAAAGTAGTAATATTTCATTCACTGTGAAAATAGGGAGAAAGTATACAAAATATGAAATTAAATTGAAAAAAAAACTGTTGATTATATAAAACAACTATTATTTTGCATATTCATCTTTGAAATCTTAAAATTTTATATAAATTTAGAAAATATTTGCTATATTGATGTGTTAATACTTAATATAATTCATATACAAAAATTGAAAATATTGAATTTTCTAATACAAAAAAATGCGGTGGCAATCAAAAGCCCGACAACCGAAATAGCGTCAATCAAATTCCCGACTATAACGAAATCCCGGCGTTTGAAATCCCGACAGTATCGAAATCCCGACAACCATAATCCCGACTATATCAAAATCTCGACAACCATAATCCCAACTGTATCAAAATCCCGACTATATCGAATATGTCTTCAATAACATTTTTAAATTATTACAGATCGTAGTCACTTTTAAATTGTTATTAATAATAAATAACAACAATTAATAACTAATTGTATTTCATATTATTTCATAATGTTAAGGTTTGTTATGAATAATTCAACAAAATCAAATTTATTGTTATTAAAAATAAAATTGTAGCACGCTCCAAAATAATTTAATAATGTTATTGTAGAAATTTTCGATATAGTCGATAGTTTGTCGAGATTCTGATACAGTCGGGTTGATGAGATTTTGATATAGTCAGGATTTCAATACAGTCGGGATTTCGATAGACGGTATTTCGGTCGTCGGGCTTGCGATATAGAACCAAAAAAAATTAAATTGAAAGAAATGTATCACATACAATTGATTAATTAAAAAAAAGTTACCAAGGATCAAATGAAATAAAAAGGAAGAGAAATAAAACACTTATCAGAATGTTTCTATTTATGACCATATTCCACGTAATGTTGTTCTATTATTAGACGTTGCTCACACGCGGAAGAAACTTGAGACATGTAAACGTTATTAATAAAAATCAATACATTCTTCGTCTTCAATTCAATTCAATATTTCATTGACACCCTTTTGACCTACAGTATTCATACGTTCATTGCTAAATGAACGCCAATATTCATCAGAATGTATTCATTAAAATTAGAAAACATTTTTTTCTAAACCAAGAAATGTATAATTAAATAATGTTAGATATCTATAAAAAGGGCAATTTTCCTATTTGCATGTAGTAATTAATTAATTAAGATTAAGTTAATTATTCCGATTGTTTTTTAATTGATTGATTTAACATAATTTATGTACACAAATTGAAAACGTAAAATATAACAAAATTGAGAATCCAATTATAATATTGATTAATTATAATATGTTAAGAAGTGAAAAATGCAGTAATTAGTTAGATTTTCTTATGAAACTAATATAATTGATACATCAAAAATTGAAATTTGAAAAATAAATTTTACTAGATTAAATATTAATTTCTAGTTTAAACTAAGAAATTTATAATTAAATAGTTTTCTTATATATAAAAAGGGCAATTTTCTTATGCTTGTAATAATTAATTAATTAATAATTAGTTAATTCTTAATAAAAAAAAATCTTTCAGATTCAATTATTTTCGAAATGATTTAATATAATTTATGTACAAAAATTAAAAACGTAAAATATAACAAAATTGAAAATCCCAATTATAATATTGATTAATTAAACTATGTTAATAAGTGAAAATGCACTAATTAGTTAGATTTTCTTATGAAACTAACATAATTGATACATCAAAAATTGAAATTTGAAAAATAAATTTTATTAGATTAAACTAAGAAATATATAATTAAATAGTTTTCTTATGTATAAAAAGGGAAATTTTCTTATGCTTGTAGTAATTAATAAATTGAGATTAAGTTAATTCTTAATAAAAAAAAACACTTTCAGATTCATTTATTTTTTTATTGATTGATTTAACATAATTTTTGTACACAAATTGAAAACGTAAAATATAACAAAATTGAGAATCCAATTATAATATTGATTAATTATAATATGTTAATAACTGAAAAACTTTAATAAGTTAGATTTTCTTATGAAACTAACGTAATTGTTTGGAATTAAAATTTGAAAAACAAATTTTATTAGATTAAATATTAATTTCTAGATTAAACTAAGAAATGCATAATTTTTGATATCTACAAAACGGGCAATTTTCTTATATGCTTATAGTAATTAATTAATTGTGATTAAGTTCATTCTTATTTAAAAAAAAACTTTGATTATTTTTCTGTAGTTGATTGATTCAACATAATTTATGTACAATTGAAAGCGTAAAATATAACAAAAATTGAGAGTCAATTAAAATCAATGGCAATCACAAGCCCGACAACCGAAATCCCGACTGTATCGAAATCCCGACAACCGAAATCACAACGTTCGAAATCCCGGCTGGCTCAAAACGTTCGAAATCCCGACTATATCGTAATCCCGACTATTTCAAAATCCCGACTATATCCAAATCACGACTATATTGAAATTCCGACTATATCGAAATTCCGACTATATCGAAATCCCGACAGTGTCTTTTATTATTATAAATTTCTACAATAACATTTTTATGGTAGTAGGGATTTCGATATATTCGAGATTTTGATAGTCGGGATTATGGTAGTCGGGATTTTGACATAGTCGGGATTTCAAGCGTCGGGACTTTAATACAGTCGGGATTTCGAACGTCGGGATTTCAATAGACGGTCTTTCGGTTGTCGGGCTTGCGATATAGACCCAATTAAAATATATTAAGAAGTGAAAAAGTACCAATTAGATAGATTTTCTTAAGAAACCAACATAATTGATACATCAATAATTGGAACTGTAGAAATTCATTTTTTGGTGACATTTACACACGTGCAGATCGAACAAATTATTAACGCAATTTGTTACACACGAAAAAGGGGTGAGAATTGGAATTTCTCATTGAAAACGATGAGGGTTATTTCCATCCGGGTGAAATACATCAATGAAATACCAAAGATTACTTCTGACGATAAAAACATGTTTTATCAGATACACAAGAACGCTTCTAAACCGAAGAAGTGATAAATGAAATCCGGATAGAATCGAAATGCAAACAATTTAATATAAGTTTTTTTTTTCATATATAAAGAAAGAAATAAAGAAGATTTGTCTGTGTTACAAAACACTTTACCAGTTTTCTTTCATTCTTCACTTTTG